CAAAACCAGAAGAAATGAGCCCACTAATTTCCATTATCAGAAGCCTGGGTCCTAGAGCAGCTGAGGAAGGAGTTTGTTCCCATCACCTTGAACTGCATCTTGAGATGCTGCATTTTAAGGAAACTAGGATTCAAATAGGTATTGCCCTCCATCTGTCCTTACCTCTAAATGCCAAAGAAAGAAGGGAATGGAAGGGATCTAACAATGCTCTTTCCCATTTTTCCCTACCGACTCTTCTCTTGCCCTTGACTCAGAGTCTACATTAGAGTCCTGAGATCAGACCCTACCCGGCCTTGAGCTTCAGGTGCTGGACTCTTTAGCTTCTCCCAGAAGAGCAGTGTAAAGCCCAGGGACCCTGAAGGACCTGCTCGTGGCTACACATCTGGCGAGCAGCAAACTAGGACCAAACGCTGGTGAGCTCCCTCCCCTTTGCTAAACTTCAGTTTCTGATTCTAAACATGAGATAACAAGCCCAGCCTGGGGCATCATGTGTAAACTGTTAAGCTCAGTACAAAGGCAGTAAGAGCATCATCTTTTATCAGTAGTCTGAGAATTGGGAGGTGGGGTGAGGTGGCAGCACTTCCGACTTTCAGATTCATCCCACTCATTTATGTCAGCCCTTCCCTAGAGGCCCAGGCCACAGAGTGGAGGAAGAGGGTATTAAATATCAGAGTTATTTAAAAGCCACTTGCCTGCCCCTCAGAAGCAGAGCACGGCCTCTGCTGACTCAACAGAGAAAATGAATCTTGGGCCTATGGATTTTCCTGTGTCTCAGGCAGTGGGGGAGGAGGGAGTAAGCGATGAAAAATGGGAACAGCCAGGCCCACGGTGAAGTCCTCCCCAACCCACTCCCACCACCAGGACAGTACAGGAGCTACAAAAGAGGAAAGAACCTGGGCCATCCTGCTGCCTAATGACTGATCTTCCTATCAGGCCTGCCCAGCTGTTCTCCACTTGCCTCAGAGGAATGGAGGGCCAAGGGAAAGGGAAGGGAGCATGAGGGCCCCCAGGATAAGGGGAACCTGCATGACAGGACACCATGGCAGCATGCCTGGATGGACTCCCACTTTACATCACCACTGCAAGCAAAGTGTGGCCTTAACTGGGGTGGAGCCAAATTCAAGGTTATACATGGGGAAGGTAGGGAGACCAACTTGGGCAAATCACAGTATTACCTCTCCCTCCCTGACCTCCATCCCTAAAAAGCCAAGGGGCACAAGATTAAAAGACCCTGTTTCGTGTACACACACACACACACACACACACTTTTTTGCAGATGGGGAAACTGAGCTCTGGAAAGGCAGAGACTTGCCCAAGAACTTTCATAATCTAAATGCATTTCTGATGACATTTTGGAGCTGAAGCCTGATGGGGAGGAGTCACCTGCTGGGTACCCCAGGACAGGGAAATCACCAAATCTCTCTATGCTCCCTGCCAAGCCTCAGGGGCATTTACAGAAAGTACGATCTTTGCAAAAAGAAAGGGAATCCAAATGAAGGAGCTTGAAGCTCAAGGAGAGGACAACCTGGAATGCTCAGAAAGGAGTTCTGAAACCTAGTGAGATAATAAATTCAAGAACTGAGGTCCAGGGCTGGGGATGTAGCTCAGTGGTAGGCGGCTTACCTAGCATGCATGTGGCCCTGGGGTTCCATCTCCAATACTGCAAGGGGAATTTGAAAAAAAAAGAAAGAAAGAAAGAAAAAAAATTAAGACCTAGTGTGGCTGCCAAGGGGAATTCTCATGCGGGCACAGAGGAGATGGTCACTCTGCTCCACTGGGATGGGGATGCCTCACTGGCTCTCAGTCCTGAGGAAAACCAGAGAGCCTGCGCTCTTTGCCCATAGGTTCTCAGTCACTGGGACAGGGAGGGCTGCTGTAGCAAAGAAAATGAGCAGGAAACCTGAGCTCCTATCAGGTTCAGGTTATAAGCAACCATATAACCTTGAGGGAAGCACTTAACCTTTCTGGGCAAGCATCTCCTGGTGTAAAGTGTAGATGGGGGATCCTCATCAAGCTGACCTCACAGGAATGGGAGTGTCAAGCCAGAGATTTTTAAATCATTATTTCATTCAATAATGTTCCCTAGTGTCTTTTCTGTACTCAGCCTTGCCCAGTGTCCTGACACACAGGAAATCAGACCAATCTCCAGCCCTGGTTATAGACAGCCAAGGGGCTCAGGAGAGCCCTAGCACTCTGATCACTAAAGGGAAGTCTCAAAACATGGAAAGAGAAGCCATGAGTGCTTCCTGGAAATGGCAAACTCATGCTGAGCCCAGAGGGACAGGAGAGGGAAGGCAAACCACCCAAGAAAAGATATGTCCCTTGAATGCACTGGAGAAGAAATACAGCCTCAGACTCAACTGGTCATACATTTATTGAACACCTACAGCATACTGAAAACTGGTAACTCCAAGATGAAGAGGGCTGTTCTGCCAGAAAACAGAGCAGTCACCCCACCTGTACAACACAGGTAACATGTGCTCTGTTCTCTGGGCTTCCCTTCCCTGACTGAAGTGTTTAGTATCCCTCAACCAAGGCTGTCTGCTGCCCTACAGTCCCTTTCCCAGGGGTGCCATCAGCCAGCCAAGCAGAAGCCAGCCACTGTGGAACCTGGAGAGGGAGCTGTGGTCTTGGCAAGTGCTCTCCAACTCCTCGGGACTGGAGGTAACAGCATCTCTGCAGCCAGCAGGACAGGGAAGCAGGCCACTCTTCATTCACGATGAGCCCCTAAGCCTTTGCTGCACATTTCTCTCTTGCTGGTTCCCCTACTAGAAACACTGCAATGCAGAAGACCCAGGGCCCCCCCACCACCACCACAGGGCAATGTCAGAGCTGGGGCTGATGTGGGCCAAGGGGGGGGGGGTGCAACAGGTGAGTACTAACCCTCAAGGGCAGCTACTCAAGCACTTGTGCCCCAAAGAGGAAAGACCACCAGCCTGCAACCTCCACAATGGGCACAATGCAGGTCAGAAGGAGCAGGCTCCCAACGCTAGTCAGTCTCTGGATGCACATGTTTACATCATACACGGTCTGTAAGCTTGCCCCTCTGAGAATGCATCAGGAACCTGAAAGGACCAGCAGTGTGCTTATTCAAGCATGTACGTGCTCCTGAGTCTATAGGCACACACCCAGATGCACTCCAACCTATGTTCCAACAAGTTTAAATATTGCATTGTTTCTCTTGTGTGAGAAACCCAAAGGGTAAATAAGAAGCATAACAGAGGACAGATACTGGGAAGTAGGAAGAATATGTTCAAATGGGAAGGAGAAAAAGGCAGGGGGGAGGGAAGGAAGGGAAAAGGGTTTAAAAAAAAAAGAATGGAAGGCAAAAATGGAAACAAAGCTTTTGTAAATGGGGAGGGAAGAAGGGTTGAGGGAGGGCAAGTGAATGGGGAAAAAAATTAAGATATATTACATACAGATACAAATTCCCTATGATGAATGTGATCAGCATGTATGACAAATATGTACGAACCAAAAATAAAGTTAAAAGAGCACTACAAAAAAAAAGAAATTAAAAAAAAAACACCATGTTCCTGGGTACACATCTGTGAACAAGCCTGCACGTATTTGCATGAGGCACATCTTAGCCTGCTGTGTAAGCCTTCTTATGCGTATTTATGCACATCCAAGCAAGCACAAGTCTGTGTGCCCATTCGTGGACACAGCTAGGACTATTTATGTGTAAACATGTAAACCTTGCCTTGACGTGTATAAGCACACAAGTACGCACAACCTCATGTGTGCATCTGTAGAGATATCCAAGTGTGTATGTACAAGTTACTGTTGTCATCTCCCAGTATCTGGAAGTGCTATGATGGGGATGGAGAGAAAGGACTGTGGGGAAAACCAGGCTGGAGGAGGCCCAACATCACCAGCCTTGGTCCTTAGGGCTGGTCCCTGCCTGAGACCCAGGCCACTGCTGGGTCTGCCTCTTCTCTTTAAGTGGTTTCAATCCAGTTGCTCGATCTGTTAAATATAACCTCAGGGAAGTCAACCCAACAAATGGCAACCCTGCCCAATTCTGGAGAAAGACTGACTGATTCTCGGGGGAGGGGAGCGGAGCCTCTGTCCTAACTTACTCTGCGGATACTGGAACGGCCTGAGGATCAAATGTCAGCGTCTCCAACCTGAATAATTCAAACCAAGGCCAGGAAAGCTCCCTTCTTGAGAGCCTGTCTCTTTAAATCAGGTCTGGCACTTCCCAGTTCTGCAAAAAATAAATAAATAAATAAGTGAAAATCCAGAACAAAACAAACCTACGAACAGCTCAGCCTCCATCTCAGCCCTGGTCCCCTCGGAAACCCCATTCCACGGTGCAGAAGTAGTTCCTGTTTGCCCAGCCCCTGGAGCCCCCAACCCTTCATCCCATTCACCACTAACAGGAGGGGAAGCCTGAAGGGGAGGGTACGGGCTCAGTATGTGGGGTGCCGAGGGTGCTAGGGTGCAGAAGGAAAGCAGAGAGCTGAATCACTGTGCCCACCAGTCCGTGCCTAGGACAGTGCCGGGAGGAGTCCTGCCTGCGGGAAGGACCTGGATGCCCAGACCCTCTTGTAGAACCAGGGCAGCCAGAGTTGGGGGGTCTGGGTGTGGCAGAGGTGCAGCTGACTTCTCCAGGGCATGGGACAGGGTCCAGAAAATGCTAGTGGCACCGGACCTGCCGGGGTAGTAGTGACCCCGCTGTGCCTAATGGAATTGGGGTCCAAGAGCAGGTGGCCAGAGCCTGGGGATTTTCCAGTCTCTTTCCCACAGCATATCCCCTTTCCCTGATCACAGGAATGAGGAAGAGGCTGAAAAATGAGTAACTTTCTCAGTTCACCCGAATCCCTGCCTCCTCCTGTAGGGGCAACTCTAAAGTCTCCCCCTCCTCAAAAAGAAAAACATTCTCCTGGGTAAAGACCCACCTGCCCGCTCGCCCCAGCCGCCCCGCCCCACACGTGCCACCGAGGGAGAAGGAAACCAGCCTAAACTCGGGGAATGGGGAGAAGGGGAGAAACCAAGTGAGCCTCACAGAGCCAAACTTCTCAGCAGCCCGGGGGCTGGTCAGGGGAAGCGAGAGCTCCCAACGATTCTCGGGAGCCTCCCACCCCGCCTCCCTCGGCGAGGAGGGCTCGGAGACTCCGCTGAGGGCGGAGGAGGAGGCCGGGCGGCGGGGAGGGGGGAGGCAAACCCTGCCCACTCGGCTCGGAGCCTGGAACGGCCGCAGAAGTCGGAGGGCCGGTGCGCTGGGCGAGGAGGGCACCAGGGTCGGGGGGCTCTGCTCCCCGCCTGACCCCACTCGTCCCCAGCTAGCAAAGTGAAGGCTCCTCGGACTTTAGAGCCAGCAGACAGACTGAGACTGCCGGCCACTCCGGGTCAAGGACTTGCCCCACCCGTGCCTCCCACCAGGGGCTCCCAACTCACTGGTGAGCGCGGTTGCCCGGGAGCTGGATGCGGGGGCGGCCGCGATGGCCCCGCGCGCGGGACGGCCGGGGCTCCGGGGGCCGCTGCTGCCGGGGCTGCTGCTCGCGGCGGCAGCGCTGAGCCGGCCCGCCGCGCCCTGTCCCTTCCAGTGCTACTGCTTCGGCAGCCCCAAGCTGCTGTTGCGCTGCGCGTCGGGCGCCGAGCTCCGGCAGCCGCCACGGGACGTGCCGCCCGACGCGCGCAACCTCACCATCGTGGGCGCCAACCTGACGGTGCTGCACGCGGCCGCCTTCGCCGACGGGGACGCGGACGGAGAGCAGGCGGCGGCGCCTGGGGTGCGCCTGCCGTTCCTCACCGCGCTGCGCCTCACGCACAACAACATCGAGGTGGTGGAGGACGGCGCCTTCGATGGGCTGCCCAGCCTGGCGGCGCTCGACCTGAGCCACAACCCGCTGCACGCCCTGGGCGGCGGCGCCTTCCGCGGGCTGCCCGCGCTGCGCTCGCTGCAGCTCAACCACGCGCTGGCGCGGGTTGGCCCCGCGCTCCTGGACGCGCTGGACGCCGCGCTCACTCCGCTGGCCGAGCTGCGCCTCCTGGGCCTGGCGGGCAACGCGCTGAGCCGCCTGCCGCCCGCCGCGTTGCGCCTGCCGCGCCTGGAGCAGCTGGACGCGCACTTTAACGCACTGGCCGGCTTGGGCCCCGACGAGCTGCGCGCTCTGGAGCGCGATGGAGACCCGCCCGGGCCGCGCCTGCTGCTCGCCGACAACCCCCTGCGCTGCGGTTGCGCCGCGCGCCCCCTGCTGGCCTGGCTGCGCAACGCCACGGAGCGCGTACCCGATGCGCGCCGCCTGCGCTGCGCCGCCCCACGGGCACTACTGGACCGGCCTCTGCTGGACCTGGACGAGGAGCGGGTGCGCTGCGCAGACGGCGACCTCGACGGGCGTGGAGAAGAGGCGGATACCGCTGGCCCGGAGCTGGAAGCCTCCTACGTCTTCTTCGGGCTGGTGCTGGCGCTTATCGGCCTCATCTTCCTCATGGTGCTCTACCTAAACCGCCGCGGCATCCAGCGCTGGATGCGCAACTTGCGCGAGGCATGCAGGGACCAGATGGAGGGCTACCACTACCGCTACGAGCAGGATGCCGACCCGCGCCGAGCGCCCGCCCCGGCCGCCCCCGCCGGCTCCCGCGCCACGTCCCCAGGCTCGGGCCTTTGAGCTTCTCCCGCTGGAGATCGGGGGCTGCCCTGCCAGCTGATGACCTTACTGAGGCCCGGGCCTGAAGCCGTGGAATGAAACACTCGCGAGCGTGGAGCTCCAGGACCAGCCCCAGACCAGCCCCAGACCTTTGGACGGTAGTGTTCCTCCCACTCAGAGGCTCCAAGCTGTACCTCCTTCCTCAGAGTCACCCCATCTGATTCCAGAAACTGCCCCTGCCCATCTCTGAAAGCCCACTCGCCCTTCCCGGAGTCGCCCAGAGACCCTGTCTTTTCATTCGAAAACTCCGAGACAGCTGCCACCACTCTGCTTTAAGCCTGGCCGACCGCCTATGCTGCCTATCTGCAGCTGAAAGCCTTCAGTCCCTCTCCCCAGGGCTCAGAGGCTTCACGTCCCAGTCTGGTCTCAGAAGCAGATCACCCCCATCAGAAGGTCTTTGTAGACTTTGAGCCCTTTGCCCTGCCCCAGAGCTCAGAGCCCTCCTTCCTGCATGGAGATCTACATCTTGGGGCCCTGAGGGTTGGCATCGTCCCCCACCCTGAAGGTGTATTTCACACCCCAGCAAAAAGCTCGGCCCCCTCTTTTCTGTGGCTTCAATCCCAGTCTGCCTCTCCCCTTCGAAGGAGGAGCACACCCTTTGCTAGCCTTAGTGTGGATTCCATCCTCAGTCTTCCCCACCAATGCTCCTACCCGCCCCCCCCCATGCTATCTGCTTGCCCCTAACCTCAAACTCTCCACTCATCCATCTGGGTTTCATTCCCCTGCCTGAGTTTTAGGCTCTCATTCGCCCCACATCCATCACTTGTGCTTGTACCCACCTGTCATTCCCCTGCCTCAGTCCAGTGAGGGATCCATCTCTGGGATGTGTCACCCTCTTCCCTCCCAGGACGAGCTGTCCAGTCCCACGGGACACATACAGACGGCAGCACCTCAGTGTGCAAGGGGATGGTGTGGTGGGGCCTCAGCCAGGGTCACTGGCCCTTGGTGGCCTGAGTTGTAGGGCAGGGGCTGGGAGCTGCTGCCTACCCATGTCTCCACGCTCTCCCCTGGCCATTGTCCTGGGGACTCCTTGCCACTACATCCACACCCCAGCCCATATGCCTCTGGAAAAGGATGGGGGTCTCACCTCCTGTCTCAGGCACAAACCCTCCTATTCAGGGTCAGAGCCTCAGCGCCCTGCCTTCTGCATGATCCCAAAGCACAATTGGTGAGTGGGGATGGGGCTGCCCTCCCTGACTCCCACCCCTAGGTCAGGCAGAACAGCTGGCCTGTGCTGCCTCTGCACACAGGATGTCTCCCTCCTTTACTGTATCAGCTTGAGGCCTGCCTTCCCAGTCCTCACCCAAGAAATCTGGACCTCCCTTGGGCAGTTTTCTATAAAGTCTGCAATAATCTCGGATACACGTCTCTTGTAAGTGGTGCCATGTCATTCCTGCTCACTTTGGAACATTGATGGGGGGGTGCCATAGAGAGGGCCTTTGGGGCCTCTCGAGGTGGGACAGTGAACCTTGATGTGGGCCCTGAGCGTGTTGGAGAAGTGAGCTCTGATTGTACAGAGCAGGATTGAAGCTAGATGTGTAGAAGGACTTCCCATTGGGATAACTTTGCTGTCCAAGCAAGTCGGCCATTAGCTCTGAGGTGGGGTTAGCCACAGCCAGGACGGGATCCGAAGCTTTGCTACATCCTCTTCCTCTTCCATTTCTCCTTCCTCGGGGTGGGATTGGAAGGTGGAAGGGAATGTAGGCCTCAGGTGCAGCTGTGGGGAGGAGATCCAGCTACAGAGTACGAGAGGCAGTTAATGCAGACAGAGAGGAAGAGGGGTCGTGTGCTGCTCTGGGTCATCCCGGTGGGTTTCTTGGCTATTAGGGCAGGGGCTGCACATTGGGCACTTGAGAGGCTGAAGGCAGCAGCAGCCTCGATCTGGGGGCAAAATGGCCCCTGGAGCAAGGGGACAGGTGGCTCCAGACCAGTATGGCCAGCCAGGGTGGGGGCTTATTTCCTGTCTCAAGGTCCCCAGACTGAGTTATTTTGCATTCAAGGTCACAGGGCACCTGAACCATGGGGTAGAAATCCAGGTTCTGGCATTTTAACCTCTCAGGGCCACACGACTTTAGAACGGATGCCTCCTGAACATTGCAGAGGACCTCAGTGATGTGAAAAGTCCCCAGAGCTATCTCAAGAAGCACGCTCTCACCGTGGGGAGCTCTCTCCTTCTCCTTCTGAGACCTTTCATCTCAGTGCTGGAGGAGTCTGCTGGGACTCCCTGACAGCTCCAGCTCAACCTGGGAGCCAGAAGCGTGCCGCATCCCAGGCCAGCCCTGCACAGTCAGAGCCAGTGCATGAGTCTCCTTGTCTTCTCTCAGAAACTCCACCCTTATTCCAGTCACTCCTCATGAGAAGGAATTAAATACTCTAGAGCATTCCCATCTGTCAGTGACCTTCAAAGGTGTCCTGACAGTTCCCTACGACAGTGGTGGCAAACCTATCACACAGAGCCCTCTGTCGGCATGCGAGCCAAGCCCCAACATCACCCCAGCAACTGAGCATCAGATAACAGTGCACGGAGGGGCAGTGTTGATACTTTTCAATAAATAAGTGGGTTTGGAGTTGCAGTTTGGGCCCTCGGTCTCTAAAAGGCCCACCATCACTGCCGTGGACAAAATAGTGATGGTCTCTCTCACAGATTAGAGAACTGTGTCTCTAACAGATAACCTCCTCCATAGCACAGTGTGCCCTCTGGTAATGTAGCCTACGACTGCAATAAATCCTAACCAAAAAAAAAAAAGCTATTAGCTGTGGATTTGTTGTCAGCAAAAAGAAATCTTAGAGGCTTTTATGTAAGAGTCATTACAGTATTCTACTAAGTACTAAGAGCTTAGTTTGGTTGAACTACTAAGGATCATTAGTTACCAAAAGTTAACTGAGTGTCTAATATATGCCAGTTGATGTCTAAACTTAATGCCATTCACTGATCTCCGTTAAAAGTTGTCTCTGATCTGCCACCCTCTTTGCAATCTGTTAGTGGCCTTTGGCTTTATGGGATTATTAATAGGGTCCCAGGGCCTCCAGCTTTGCCTCCTCTGCAAGTCTTGCCATTCACTCAGCCTTTACTAATTGCAACTCTCCAGCCATAGGGAAGCCACTGATCGAGGGAAGGAATCACTTTTAATTAGGGTCTGGGGAAAAGAAATCCGAGGAAGCAACTCAGAGTAAGGGCCCAACCGAGCCTAAGGAAACTTCTCAGAGGCAGTCACATTTGAGTTGAATTTTGAAGAACAAATAGGAGTTTGCAGAACAGAGAAAGATCAAAAAAATCAACTTATACAAAGGCTCAGAGGCAGGAAGATCTTGTCAGTTTGAAGACTGGAGAAGATGAGCAATGGCTGAGAGTAAGTAGAAAGCTGTATGTGTACGTGTGCAGCCAGGACCTGCATTCTCCACTGGGATGCACCAGGAGGAGCCGGAAGTGGAGGTGTGTGATGTGGAGCAGAGGAACTGACTGTGCCTCTTGCTTATGGAGCCTAATTGGTCTTTTCTTCTGCCCGCCCTTCTGGGCCTTAGAGAGACAGAGGAATCAGATATACCATGCCCATGGGAGGCCAGAGAGACATTGCAAGAAGAGGTGAGGTAGGGGGTCCAGCAGAACCTGCCCGATTCCCTGGTACCACCCACTCCCTCTCTTGGAGGCTTCTGGAAAGAGTGTGAGCAGAGGCCTGAGGACTTCACTGACCAAGTAACAGAGGGGAAGAACTATCCCCAGAATGTGCCTTTAAAGATGCCTACAGTAGAGAGTGGGAGAGGGAGAGAGGAAGAGGGTGGCATGACTGTCCGTGCAGTAGACTTGAAACCAGCTGAGCACTTGGAGGAGCATGACAGACAGCCTGGGTTCTGTGACCCTGTGGCAGCATGAAATTGCCCTTCCAAAACATCTCCTGCAGAAGGCCTTTTGCTCCCACCACCCCTCACTTACCCATGCATGCTCTTCAACCTGAAGTGGCTCCCGGAGGGCACTGCTGGAGTGTGGGACTGGGTGTGAGTCTGAACTCAGCACCCAACTTGCCCTATCCCATGGTCCTTAGTCAGAAATACCAGGTGAGACCCTGCTGTGTGCTGGGTGTTGGGGAACATGGCCAAGCTGCCTCCTTCCTTTCTGGTGACCTTGGACACCCTGCCTCTCTCTGGCTCTAGGTTCTTCTGTCCAGGCTGAGGTACACTTGTGACATCTGGAGGCATGGCCTGCTCTTGCTGAAGCCCACCTCCTTCGTTAAGCCTCCGCCTGACAGACTCCTGGCCCTAATTTATGGGCATGGCCTTTCCCCGGCTGGGAGAAGTGACAGGGCAGTTAATATTCCCGTGGTGATGCACTCAGCTTCAGAATCCCCTCCTCCACCCACCCCTGCCCCTCTGCCCTCAGCAGTGCCTCCAGACCATTGTCCAGGAGGTAGCCAGCCCTATGCAGACTCACCCTTTCTTGGCTGGGTGGAGAAACTGAGGCTCAGAGGGCACAGGAGCCCATCCAGGCCATACAGATTGTCAGGAGCAGATCCAGGGCCAAGGATGCCCCCAGGATTGTCCCTGCACTGCCCTGGGTCTGAGTCCCTCATAGAGCCACCCCCTTTCTAACTTAGTATCTTCTCCCTGGGGTCACTGCATGCAGCAGCCCAACCAAAGCCACTGTAGCCTGGAAAGGAAAACAGTGAACAATGGAGAGCTGGGGAGGATTCCCACGATCCGAAGTAGTCCCCACTGGGTCTCAAAAGTCCCACTCCAGCCTCCTGTAGGCAGCAGCCTTGCTGGGAGTCAAGTGGCCCTTCCCTGAGAGGAGAAAGGGACTCTAAACTCTCAGGTATTTGGGATTCAGCCCGTTCCTCTGAAGTCTCTGCTGTCTCCCAAGCACTTGCTAAACACAGGGCTCATGTGGATGAACTAAATCTGCCTCTTGTCCTCAGTCAAGATAGTTTCCAATCAGGGTACCTGTGATCAGAAACACAGGGTCCAGATGGGTTTCTAAGGTGACCACCCAAACTGGCAAACTTTGGCATGAAAAGGGGCCATTATTAATAATTTTGTGGGACCCTGTCGTGGTGGTGCATGCCTGTAATCCCAGCACTCTGGAAGGCTGAGGCAGGAGGATTGCCATGAGTTTGAAGTCAGCCTGGGCTACATAGTTCAAGGCCAGCCTGAACTACGTAGCAAGATCCTGTCTCAATAAATAAATAAATAAATAAATAAATAAATAAATAAGGGCTGGGGTTAGAGCACAGTGCACAGGTTCCTGGGTTCAACCCACAGTACTACAAATCAATCAGTCAATCAATAAAATAATAATTCCACAAGGACAAGAATAAACTTGAACAGTCCAGGCTGATGGGCCAGACTCCAGTGACTTTTGACAAGACCTAGAAAGGGGAAATACAATGTGCTAGGCAGCCAACCACGACTTGCCAGCCTCCCAGCACTAAGTGACTAACATACTCCCTTCCTTGAACCTGGTCTCCAGCCACACTGCACTACTCAGATCTCAGGAATTGCCCAGTAGTTTTGTGCCCTGTGCCTTCACTCAGATGGCTCCCTCTTCCCACCATAGAGAGCATTCAGGAGCCCCAGGGCCCCTCGGCTTTCCTGGTCTCGCCCCTTCTCCAATTGCTCTGCCACTCAGACCTTTATCTGCACTTCCCCCCTCCCAGGATGGGGCTGGGCTTTGTTCACTTTTAGGTGCACAAGAGATTTATGAGACTCCCTTTGGCCCTGCCCCACCTGACAGAAATACAAAATACAGGGAAAGAGACATTGCACAGAGGGCACTGTGACCTTTCTGTCTGCAGACGCGTGCTTCTTTTGATCCCTACATCCTGCCGCTTCATTAACTGAGGTTGCGATGATACAAGATGCATGGGTGGGCTACTCCTCCTCACTGTTCGCAGAGTACATAAAGAAAATGCAGTTTTAGAATATGAGATCTTTCAAAACATAATTTAGTCTTAGCTTCTTCGCTTCAGCTTTTAAATAAGATTATAGCTTTCTGACCCTCCGGTGGAATACTTGTCCAGGGTCCTGCCTGGGAAGCTCCTGCCACTGGTTTATGGTCTGCGCCGCAGGGAGCTACAGCGACATCTGTCGGGAGATCCGTGTCGCAGCCAAGTCAGCCTCAACTTTTCTTTACATGCGTACGCCATCTACTGGTGGATGTGGGGAAGTTCCTTCATTTACCAACAATCCATTCATGAAGTATTCAAGGACCTACTTACTAAGTACCCATTACTGCGCTAGGAAGAAGCTGGAGATGCAATTTTGAAGAAAATTGACAAAGTCTCTGCCTTTATAAAACAATAGTAGTAGTAACTAACATTTATATAGAGTGCTATATGCCAAGGATTGTTGTAGGTACTTTACTTATGTTAACTCATTTTACCTGGGTAACAATTCTAGGAAATAGGTATCATCATATCATTATCATTATCATTATTATAGCTGTACAGATGAAGAAAGTACATAGAGATGAATGACTTGCTCAAGGTCAGGTGGATAATAAAGGGCCAAAGACTTAGAATCCAAGCCATCTGCTCCAAGGGATAGACCATAAACAAGTACATAAATAAGCAAGATACTTCTTATGAGGGAAATAAGCAGAGTGATGTGAGACGGCAGGAAAGGTGTTCTTGGAAAGGGATGGTCATAAAAGACCCCTCTGTGAAATCAGCCTACCCTGAAGAATGAGAAGGGACGTGCTACATAAAAAGCCCAGGAAAGATCAACGCCGGCTGAAGGAACAGCCAGTGCAGCGGGGCCGAGACCAAATATTCCAGTATCAGGTGGGAGGCAAGTCCTGTCCACTCTCCTCCTAAACACCTCTCCAATCTGTCCTTCTCCATGCTCTCCTGGCTTCAGCTTCTGTAGCTGCAGCTTCTGTAGCTGGATCTCACAACTAGCTTCCTCCCTGGCCCTCCCGCCTGCAGTTTCTCTCACTGGTCCATGCTCTGCGCTGCAGCCAGAGTGATGCTGGGAATGCATGAATTATACCCCCTCTCCCTGCCCTGCCCAGAACCTGCCCAGCACTCTTCTGGACAAAAGCTGAGCTCTTTGGACTGGTGAAACCCCTCTCTCTGGTCCAATTTCTTGCCAGTTCTCCCAGTTCCCTTCCCACTAGCCACATAAAGTCCTTACAGCTTCCTGAAGGTCTCAGACTGTCCCACCCATGAAGGCTCCCCGTGTGCTGACCCTTCCAAGTGGACTGCCCATAGTCCTGGTCACCTTTCTCCCCTACCTCTTTCTCCTCTACCTCTTTCTCCTCCTCCTCCTCCTCCTCCTTTTCCCTATGGTACTGAGGATTGAACTCAGGGCCTCGCCACATCTTCAGCCCTTTTTATTTTATATTTTTAGGCAGGATCTAAGTTGCCCAGGCTGTCCTCAAACTTGCAGCCCATCTGCCTCAGCCTCCCAAGTAGCTAGGATTACAGATATGCACCACTCAAGGCTTCAATCTCCTTTTCCTTCAAAAATCAGATGAAAGTATCTTCTTGGAAGCCTGCCTAATTCCCCATCTCGGCTTCCAGAGTGGAATGTGCTCTCATGGACGCTATGACTCTGTCTCACCCGGTCCGCAGCAAACCTCAGCAGCGATTCCAAATCTTTGTCCTCATCCCTTCTCCCTGCCTCCCCCAAAATCTGTGAGCAATTGAAGGAAGGGATTGTCTGGTTTATCTTAGTGTCTCAAGCCCCAGGACAGGCCCCAGCAAATGACACACCCAATAAATATTGTTTGTAGCTGTG